ATCTGTTATTAATTACCTTGTTGTATGACCAGGAATATCAAATTCAGGTATAATACGTATACGTCGTTGTCGAGCATATTCAACAAGATATTGAATATCTTTTTGTGTAAAAAAATCTTTTCTATCATGTAACAAATTATATTCAATACTTTCAACACGAAAACCTTGATCATCGGATAAATGTAAATGCAGAACATTAAGTTTACTTAATTCCATTGCATTTAATGTTCGTTCAATTACTGTTACAGGCATCCAGTGACGAGATACATCTAGTAATAAACCTCGCCACATAAATCGAGGCCGATCAATTATATTTACTAATGGAATATAAGTTTTTTCTGATGATATATCTCGTTCAATTAATTGAACAAATGTTGATAAACCTCGAATAATACCTGTTGATGATGATGCATATAAATATGAACCTATTTTTGTTATATTAAGTCTATAAGATTCATCTTCACCGAGTTTTGGATATTTATTTATATTTGACTTGATTGATGGACAATCAATAATAAGATTATGTTTTGATGATACCAACTTTCGCTCAATCTCTATCGGTATTCCTGTTAATAATGAAATATATTTTGAATAACGACGAAGAGTTAATTCGAGATCTTTTGTAGGTTTTTGCTTTGATATAATTCGAAAACCATTTACTATTACTAATATGGAATTTTTCTTATCAATAAATTGTGGAAAAGGTATTACATTTATATTTGTTAATATAGAATTATTTTTATATTCCAATAGATAATCGTTAACATCATAATGATAGGAATTTTCATTGATGAAAAATAAAGATGATGTGTTTTGATAGAATAAATAAAGAATAATTACAAAGCCGGTTATAAATGATGCAGATAATATTTTAAACAGGGTTTTCAATAGAGTCATTTTCAATTAATCAATTAATGAATAGGTTATACAATTAAATATAATAATAACAGTTTTCGACAGAATATAACTTATGCTAAACCATTTTTTTGCTTATCAACAATAACGTAATATAAGATTAAAGTTTAAATCTAGGAATAATATTAGATTTTCTATAAGTATAGATGAAATTTTTCTTTCCTTAGAAATGTCATTTCAATATTGAATAATATATATTTAATAAAGATCAACTCAGCCCATTTACTATACAAACAAAAAAATTTCTCAAACATAATTTTATGTTATGTAATTAACGTAAGAGTAACTTTAATTTTGTAAGAAACAATTAGTTATGTTTTTGATATTCACACAAAAAAAAACCAAAAAAAAGAACACAAAATAAAGTTACCACTAATTTCAACAAGCGTTATTCATGCTTTGCTTGTTGATCACGGACATGTATAAAAAAAAAGTATTCATACTAGTTTATTTTTTGCTAATAGCAATCCTTTTCTTTTCATCTCTCTTTCTCAATTGTCTTGTTAGCATATACTATCAATACGATTGAAAATGAAACGCGAAAGAAGGAGTCATGATTGACAACAAATAAGCTAGTATAGCCACTTTCTATACATTTTTGTGGTCAACAATCATACCGTAATTAAAGTTCATTTTTTCAAAAGTCTATTTGTCGACCAAGTTGTAATTATGTATTATAGAGATAGTTACAAACAAAGAGAAAAAAAATGCGATGAGATACGCTTGAATAATCAATATGCGTATGTTGCTCTTCTGTAACATACATATATGCTCATAAAAAATTGTATAGAAAGAAAAAGAAAAATAGACGCTTCACATGTGCTTCAAGTCAATAAAAAGTAAAATGTTTCTTTTCTATAATGATACACCAATCGTATTTCAAAATAGCTATTACTTTGAACTTTGTATTTGTGCCTTCGTCAAAATAATACTACTATCATGCAGGAGCGGGACTGCCAAGGAAGGGGAATGGGGGAGTCACCCTCTGCTTCGAAAAATTTTGACTGCGGCTTTGTCCGAATTTAAAGTCTGTTTTCTCTGATTTTGGAGGACTTTTGTCAGCAATTTTCTCCAATTCTTGTTTTTTTTATGAACGACAGTGGCTGCACTTAAGCCCGGAAAAGACCGAGAAATTATCAACAGATAATAATAGAAAAATTTTTGACCCTTTCTCCAATTTTTGGATTTACCCTCCCCTGCTCCGATCCCTTTGCACCGTGCCTACTATTATGATAAAGAATGTTTTATCAACTTTTATGAACAAAAATATTTCGAATAGTAATCTTAAATATTCTATAATAGCTATTATGTTATGTGACAAGCAGATTGACTACAACTACGTACATATACTGAGTATCAAAGTTATACAATAAAATTGATTATCAGTTTTTTTTCCTGTCGTAAGTATTAGAGATAATCCAAATGCTAATTCGAATGGAGAAAATAGTTTCCAGCTAGTATGTAAAAAACTAATTATGAAGTCGTAAAGATAGGGATTCCAGAAAACCTAAAATTAGGTTTTTTAGCACTTAGAGTTTGGGTTTTCTGAAGGCCTTGTATTTGAAAACCTGATAATAATTTTCATTTCCTAATATTTCCATCAAAAACAATTGTTTCTATTCGAAACAGTATTTGAATTCTTTCTAACGCTTACGGCAGCATAAAAAAAGATAGTACATAAATCTAGTTCACTAATTGTGGTACCTAATGTATATTAACATTATTCGAATGAAATGAATGAATTGAGGTATTGTTTTACTATGTGCGCGCAGCAAAAGCCTCTCCAAATGTTGTTTCCGATTGATTATCAATTTATCATATTGGATATTGAATATTTGTAAATGAATTTCTCTACCAAATACCATACCTCTAAATACTTATCCATATCCTTAGAGCCGACAAAAACTACCGTTTAACCGACGGTATACACGTGTAATCAACAGTTCTTTATCATTATCCCTCACAACTTCTCTCATCCAGTAAATTTGTTTATTCATACTCACGATTGAACTAGCTCTTGGACCAAATCTAGATAGAATAAAAATTATTTAATTCTTTATATACTGATACTTATATATGATTCACTTGTTGAATCAAATCTAAATTAAAAAAATCTCAATTTGTCCCTTCGAGTATCAATTATGATGAATAATGACGAGACATGAATATAGATTCTTTTGTGGTACATATCATAAGAATACATATTTTAAAATCAAACTACAACTTTGTGTGAATGCTTCGTATCAAAGCAAAAATAACTGAGTCAATGAACGACTTTCTTATAAACTTAGGGAATGTTTCTACAGCTCTTACTAGTATGAATATGAATATAATTAAAAGATGGAATAAATTTTATGCTGTCTGATTCATATGCATTGTGCAGCTTGTAATATATATTTGGAAGGAAAAAGAGAATCTAGAATGAAGAGGTATAAAAGCAACCTAATCAAACAAGGAAGAAATATTTTGGGTCTCTATTTTACTCATTGAATATTTATATATATTAACTACAACAGCTATGCATATATCGAAAGAAAAGTTCTGAGAAATCTTTTCTATGGTAACTGATAAACTTTCAGTATTAGAACTTAGTTCGTGATTAATTGTTGTATAAATTTTTATTACTAAAAATAACTGATCAAAACCGTCGATTAACCGTAGTTGACTGTCGGTTTAAATTTTGACCGTCAGTTTTCACAAACAACGACGATGACATGGGTGTTATTTGATCAAAACTTTTTTCTTAAGACTGTATGTATATCAAAAATAGTCACCATGATAAAATAAAATGGTCGAAAAAAATGGCAATAAAGTCTCGCTTGGGACTCCAATAAAATTGAATTCGAAATGATTATAAAAATTTTCTCGAAATAAATCTTCAACGTACTCCAGTAAAATAGTCAAACATTTTCATTCTTCTATAGTAACAAGTTTAGTCTTCATGCGTCAGGTAACAAAGAAAAAGGTACTATATTGATTGATAAATAACTTTCAAGATAGAAACATTGGAAATACATTCTCATTAACAAGTAGCACAAAAAGAAGTTTATGTGCTAATGAAAAAATTTTTGGAGTTTCTCGGAGTCAAAAAGTTTGACTCTACAGAACTCTGCAGAGAAGCTATTGTTCATCAATTAACTTCGTGTATAATTCAGGCTCCTTGTCCTTAAAAATTGATCTCAGCGCAGAAATGTTCGAATGACAAAAAAATTACCAGAATATGTTGGGACTAGAGTGAGAAAGCTATGGTAAAATTTTCAGCCTGATATCATGACGTTTGAGGGCGATATTGATGAAACAAGGGTCGAAAATAGCTCATTTGGCACATCAAATGTCTCTGTCCAGACTCATTGTATATATTTAATTCTTTTTGTTTGAAAGAGGATATCAGGATGTAGTGCAGTACAGAACCTTGTTTTTAAATTCTTACTCTTCAGGAGGAATAGAAAGGATCGAAAGTTTAATGACTCCAAAAACTCTCTAAAAATGGCGTTCTAATCATATAAATGTTTGTATGTATAGTAAAAGCGAAGCTTAATCAAAAAAGGGTTCTATATTGTACTACGCCTTGACGTGCTCTTTTCAACAAAAAAATTTAATGCATCACATGGACCTGAACTGAAAAAGTCGAAAAAGGTTTTGGGTTTTTTCAAAAACAGCTTATTTTTCGAATAGGGAATGGCAGGAATCTTTAAAAATTTTTCGAAAAACGAAGTGTTGAGTAAAAATTTTTGTTGTTTATGAAAGACCAGTGCACGGGCTGTCTTTCTATGAATTTATCTGAATTTCGATGACTCTGACGGAGTGACTTTTGTTGAGGAGAGCTTAAGCTGTACTGTCTCTATCGTATTGTCTGATTGATAAAGATGTTAAACTTTTGTAATTTTTACTTGTGAATTTTAGAGTTTATGATGAATGGTTTCTTCAAAAACGATTTATAAAAAAAACTAGTAATAAATTATGGGAATATGATTGATGGTTAGTGAATGAAATAATTCTAAAATCGGTCAATTTAATGATTGATCAGTAAATTACTTGAACGGATAGTTACTAGCTAATGAATGATCAATAGATTTAAACATCAGTAAATACAATTGATTAAGATTCGATTAAATTAAAGGGTAACTATAAAAATTGAAAAGGTTATCAAGTGAAACACTGTACTTTTTTTCTTTTCTCTCCAGCTACTGTACATAAGGTCTCGTTACTCCGACCTACTTCTTTTAGCCTATATATTTTGTGAATAAGAAGAATTATTGTTTGAAATTTTTCTTGCTGTTCATTATTTTAAGCAAAGGAAAAGAAGCTTCTCGACTTCTTTCCTGGTCGTTGTCTTTATCTATTCCTATGTATAAAATCTAGGATTTATCAAATAAAAATAACATGTTTCGCATTTATAAAATTTGATGCATTTGTAACTACAGAAGTGTTACTGGTTTTTCAATATGGAAGTGAGATATTGGATGGAGAGATCGTCAAACAAGATCATGGAATACATTGAAATAAAAGAACCCTGAAAAAATGGATTTAGTGATGTTGACGAAAGTAGAAGCATCAATTAGAAATTAATGGTCAATATATTACACAAACTGTACAAGAGATGCAAGAAAGTCAAATAGCATGAACTTTAATGTAGTGCAAATATTTTTCAGCGATGGCACGCAGATAGTGATAAAATCATTGTTTATGAAACGAAAACTGAACACAAGCATCACACTCGTGCAATTCGTGGTGTTGATGAAAATGTTATAAAGTGTATAGAAGGTTTATTTAATGATGATCTACAGAAATGAAAACTAAATCTTTGAGTATTTCAATCAAGAAAAATAAATGTGCCAATGTTAACAAAGTTAAACTAGTATCCCGTTTATCATAAAAAAAGAAGAAATTTGATTCACATAAATAGTCCATAAATTAGATCATAGATTCATTTGAAACAACAGATAATCGTTATTATGTCAAAGATGGCTTATTATCAGTCTTATTCTGTAATTTTTTCATATATTTATTCTATTCGATAAAGACCGACATGTTTCTTATGTTCCTGAACAGCATGACTTTAACAAACTGAAGAATCAATTGGAAACTTTCTACATCATAAGAAAGCTTTGTATTCAATTCGACATTAATTTGCGAAACATATCACATTCGATTAGTTTTAATAACTACATTATAATGAATGAACAATTAGTTCAATGCTTGAATGATAATTGTAAAACCCAAAAGCAAAATATTTCTTTCTCAGACTATTTTTATCTAAATAAAATTTATGATCTAACTACAAAAATGAATGTATAATCTTTTTGAACTGCTGTCAATTTGAATTTCATCATAATGTATTTAATAACTGAGGATTTTCATGCTATTGCGCTGTTTGCTAATAGCAACACGTCGATTATGAAGAACAGCAATACAATCACCATCATTTTGAAGATTGATCATTTGCTTTTTACCATTGGTATAGATAATATAAAGTCGATGACGTCCTGTTGTAATGAAGAATCGATTCTTTCCATCAGTAAGAATTTCGATATAACCATCACATTTACCAAGAAGAATCGAGTTCAATTTATTCACTTTCAAATCACAGAAAGTAACCTGAAATACTTCACGATGGTTTTGCATACGCGTACAAATTGATGCCATCATATGATCTGTCACGCAAAAACTCGAACTGCTATATATAAAAGCTCCAACTGGACGACGTTTGAAGTCGACAGTTCTTGTACACTCAGATTGAGTAGAATAGACTTCGATGCCATTGAAGTCATTTTCAGTAGAGTTGATCCATATGAATAGATTAGCAGTATTTGCTGCCACGCGGCAATATGACCACTTACCACGTATCACACTTGTAATTTTAAACCTATCATTAATATAATTCACTGAATAAATTCCATTTTCCGTGACACAGATAAACTTTGTAATGCTATTCCACCGTATAATATCGTTGATGTGCGATTGATTTCAATCCCTATATCGATCAAAATCGCCCATGCAATATGTATGCTATAAGATTAGCTTCTTCATCATAATAACTTGTATACATTATATTTTCCCCATCGCTTGCCATTCGATCAATAGTGTATGTTGTTGGTGCATCATCATATTCTATACCGTTGCCATCACCGTAATCATGAAAGCTATCAAGTTCGTCAAGTTGATTTGCTACATTTTGCTGTACAGCAGGTTGTTGTGAAATATTCAACGGAATAACCTCACATGATAAGTTTTTTGAGTCTGCCGGATGTATTGTTATTGTCTCGATAGCAAGAAACGAAGGAGCATCTTCTGAATCAACAGATGGACAGTCAAATTCTATCGAGAACTCCGGTTTTATCTTCAATAAATTCTCAACTCTGATGGCTTGATATTTTTCGACTGTTTCTTCAATAGACTTAAGTCCTGTTGATATATTTTTCGCTTTTATTGTTTGAACAATACTTTGTTTAGCAAAACCTTGAATTTCGGTACCGAGCGTGCGTAAGTCTGACTCGATTTTAAGTATATAACTCTGAAAAAGTAAGGACATGATCATTTTATCTTACTAACTTCTCTTTTTACCTGTGCATCTCGTTTTGATTTTTCGATATTTAAGATGATTTTCTCTTGTTTCAAGTAGTTGACTGATATAAGTCTTAAAATATTGGTTGATATCTTCGATTGATTTTGTTGTTTCATCAACAAACATCTTTTGTTTGTTCTGTAATAACTCTTTTAATTGATTGTATTGATGAGAAATTTGAGCAACATCTTGTAAAACTTCCTCGTGATGTTCTTTCATGCAGTCCACACATAGTGGTATACAACAATGTTTACATTGACAAAATGAAGGTCGAATACGATCATATTCTTTTGAACATAATACACAAGATTCACAATCATCAACATTTGGTAATGCTATTGCTGTAGCCATGTTATTTAGTTTAGTTATCTAACAAACAACAAATACTGAATGTTTGCAAATGTTTTAAAGAATGAAAGAAAAAAACTGATAAGTTGGGAACAAAAACAACAAGAAAAACTGGGTGTGCGAAGCTTCATGAGTAGAACAGACAAACCGGTATGCACAATCTCGCAAAATAAATATTGAATCGCTTCTTCACCCAGAGCCGGTTGCAATACTATACTTTTTATGAAAGGAAGTAAATAAATTATTGCAACTAGACACGCATGGCTCGAATGTTTTGCATTGTAACTCTTCACCATTAGTAGATCTTTATGTAGCGCTCTAGCTATCATCGTTATATATGTTCATAAATCTAACTACAAACAAACTTCTTAACAGGATTATTTAAATAATTACTTCATAAATGTTTTAGAAACTTTTTTTGGTGTTTAACTCATATTGTTACAAATAGTCTTCGGTTAATTACATGTATTTCCGTAAAAAAGAAAAACATTAATTTCAATTGACATTTTCTCGTATTTTCAGCATCTTCATTAAAACAATGAAATAATGTAGGTGATGTACTAAATAATATTTTTCTTAGGACAGCTCCATGTATTTTTATCAAAAATATAAGAAGATGCAGATTTTATTTATTTATATCTACCAAAAATAGGTTCTTATGGAACCAAGTAGAATCCGAACTTAGAATCAATGGTTGATCATAATTTCAATGAAAAGATTCACCGTAAAATATTGGTGCAATAACAAACAAAATACAAGACATAAAGATACTTCGTCAGTTAGATTTCAGATTTCGTGATGAAATTATAATTAGAGTGAAGATCTGCAACCGTCAGCAGGTTTTTTAAGTAGGTTTTACAAGCGACTAAGATCAACTTATCAATGAACATAATCTATTGGAGTCATTGTCAAAAAGATAAGGCAAATACAATCCAGATTGTCAAATCGTTGAAACAGTATACATTTAACGTTAACATCGAATACATTAAATTCGAATGTATCCTACTCATGAAAACCTTGCTTATATGATAAAGTTTTAAAATTTACATACTAACATTAGTTACACCGTTCAGTTATTCAAGAAATTCATTAAATAACGTACGATGTAGAAGTAATGGTATAAAATGTCGATCCGTATTTCTCTTTGATGAAAGCGCGCTGAAAGAAAACTGTTTTATCAAACGTAAAAAAAAGAAGCATTCTCAAAAAGAATTTGTATCATCTTGAGATTAACAAAAACAGTGAAAAATGTTGTTTTCTATATCTTTTTGAATACTCTTCGATAAACACGTTTGAAAGAGAATATATTTTTATCAATCGATAGAAAATTTTCTTATCTATCTAGTAATGTGTGGCGTTATTTGTCACGCATTCGTAAATCGAATGATATGAGAAAAAAAGGAGAAAAAGTTGCGCAATAAGTTTTCAGTTTTTATATGAACTCGTCAAAAGCATCTTGCTAAAAAAAAATAATTAATTCGGTTTTTGTAGACTCATTTTAAAAAGATCGTTTAAAACTGTAGTTACTTTGACTTTTATGAAATTGTTAAAAACATCTTGGAAAATTACAGGTAATTACAATTAACTTTTATCGACAATGTTTTTGACGAATTCATATAGAAATTATGAATTTATTTCGCGAATGTTTCTTTTTTTTCTCTCGTCTCGTTGTCAGTTACGCATATGTGACAAATATTAATCATACACTGTTTGAAAAAGGAGAAAATTTCGTATTAATTGATAAAAAACGACAGTACGATCTCTGGAGTAGCCAAAGTGTGCAACTCACAAACCTTTATCTTTAGGAATTTTTGATGTCTTGTGAGAGATTTTTAAAATAATTTCTTGTAAAAAATTCGACAAAAGTCAATAAATAAATCAAATTATAACAACTTTTACAGTCGATAAGAATGCTTTGAGATTTTTTCATTTCAAAACTTTTTGTACAGAAAATTCCTCTTCTATCAATTTATTTGATTCATTTAATAATACTATAGTTTAAAAGTTTATTGATGTTCTCAGATACATCTTCAATAGAGAACTTCTTTTCTCCTGATGGAAATATATATGATACAGTTCACAAGAAGCAGCAAATATTATTCTATTCTTCGTTTCGTCGACACAACCACAATTGTAGTCTACTCTACGCATTGATTCAATCATTCAAGAAGCTTCCGAGCCCACCATCATTTCTATACCTTGTTCTAATCTGATTCTACTAGATTTTCGCTCTCCGTTATGATGAAAATCTATCCAATAATGTTTGCCTTTCCTCTTCTCACCGCCAGCTGCCAGAGCCTAGGGGAAAGAGTGACAAAAACCTTGATTTAAACTTCCACTGACTATTATTTTCTTCGAAGAGATAGACGAATCGACATATTATGCGGTTCTTTTATATAAAAAAGTGTGGATTTTTTCTAACAATGTTGCTCTGTTTTGTTGTGTCGTTTCGTTTATGAGCGTCCTATAAAAATAAGTGATATATGATGTGAAAGAGGAGAAAAAGCTCTATCATTTAGTAAAAAAAAAAGTTTTCTTTCAGCAGCCTTGTTATCGAAGAGAAATAGGAATCGACATTTTGTGCCATAAATTTTACATCTTACGTTATCTATACACGACGTAGCTGTCGTTGCTGATCACAGGAAGATTGTTTTATTGTTCCTTCCTTGCGACATATTTATGAGCTTTTCTTTTACTTAACCTTACAGAAATACAATGAGGATATATCTAATATATTTTAATGAGTCATTATTAATATATGGTTGTGAATGGTCTCTAGACAGCGTCTGTCACGATGTGTTGTAGAAGAGTGGTGCAAATTTTTACTCTGTATACTTCAGCATTCCTTTTAATTCGTGTTTTACAAAATTTTATGTGCTAGTAAAAGAAATACAAGTTTTTCATATTGAGTTCATCAATATTCAAATGATTGTTATACATTTTAATCAAAATATCTTTAGTAAAATGAAAACAAAATTTATTTAACATGTCACAAGCTCTAATTCCGAACGCAATTTAGTAAGAACAATATTTCGACTATTGACTACAGCAAGGCAACTGGCTTGTTTTCCAAGATTAATTATTTGTTTGTTTCCATTTGGTGAAACAATATAAAATCGTTGTTGTCCCATAGCAACATAAAATCGATTATTTCCATCAGTTCGAATTAAACACGAAGTTTCACTCAATCCCAAACGAACACGTTTTATTTTTTTCATATCACTATCATAAAATTCAATTTGTAACAGATCCCGATCATTTTCTATACGACGAATCAAAGCAAATGCAACAAAATTATCAGTTATACAGAAACTAGCACATGTTAATGAACGTGAAATTTTAAAATTGATTAGTCGTACTAGTTGAAAACTTATATTATAAATATTGATTTTCTCATCTGCGTAAATCCATATATGATTAGTGTTAGCTGCTACACACACTCGTGTCCAACGATTATTAATAACATTTAAAATTCGAAAACATTTGTCAAAGTATTCAATCGTATAAATTCCATTTTTTGTAGCACAGATAAATTTATTGATACTTTTCCACCATATCATATCAATGATACGTGATTGATTCCAAATTCGTTGCGGATCAACTTGCCGATAATGGCTATTTTTTTCATCTAAATAACAATATGCAATACGTTCATGTTGTGCATCTTCAATCGTCGAATACATTATATTTATTCCATCGCTTGCCATACAATTAACAATGTATGATGTAGATTCAAATTTATTTCGATTACAAAAATAATTTTCATCGGGAAAGAAAAAATCATTGTTTGCATTTGTAGAAGTTCCTTCATCTGAAAGAGATGAGTCAGATTGATAGTTTTCCTCGGTGTTCGATTGCTCATTAGTATTGAAACTTTTTTGATTTTGATTTTGAGAAGTATTTGATGTGTGCTCAGAATTTTTAGTTGTCGATTTTGAAGAATAATTAAATTTAAATATATATTGTGGCATTGTTGATGGTAAGTCATATTCTCTTATCATTACTAAAGAAGTTAATCGTTGAATCAGTTCATTAAGTTTTTCTAAAACTTGCATCATATGTTCTGATTGAAAAACAGAATTTTTTGTGAAAACTTGAGTATCATGACTGAAAGCCTGTAATTCTGATTCAATATCAAGAATAAAGTTCTAAAAACAATGAAAATTTATTCTAATATCAGAAGAATATAATTTCAGTTTACTTGTGCATCTTTTTCTGCTTTGTCAATATTCATATCAATTATTGATTTTTCAACAGTAAGATTATCAATGTATGTTTTGAGCCATTTAGTCAACTGTTGTTTTGATTTCATAGTTTCATTTTGAATTAATAATTTTTTTGTATTTATTAATTCTTTGAGTTCATTATGTCGGTCTGAAACTTGCGCAAGAATTTTTTCTAGTTCATCATTATGATCTTTCATACAATCAAAACAAAATGATGCAGAGCAATGTTTACATTGACATAAAGATTGTCGAATTCGATTATATTTACTTGAGCATATTATACAAGGGTCAAAAGAATTACTGGACGATGATGTTTTACTCATTATTTTTTTTAGAAATGTTTTTTTATACTTAATATTTATTTAAATTCTTATCTCTGACATAAAAACAAGAGAGAATGTAAAAAATGATATGCTATATTTATCTATGAAGTTGGTATAAGAGATAAAAAAAGAATATTTATTTTGAATAGACTTCTACGTAATTGTATTTATTTTGTGAAGTATATTCGACTAAATAAATTTATGCTATAATATTTTGAATTTGAGCTTCAAATAAAAAAAAATACTTGTTCGAATCACTGAAGATTTCTATTACAGTTATGACAATATTGTTGTTTGTTTAATGCATAAAAAAAATTTGGTTGAGAAATAAATCAAGTGAATATATCGTAAATCAAACAAATAAGAAATATTAAATTCTTAGATGAAATTGATCCATATATTTTTCATCTACTAAAGTGTAGAATTTTGGAGTAGACGTTTATTGAAAAAAAAACCCTTACTTTTCATATATAATCTAATTTGACTAATAAGAGAACCTCACTAACTAATATCCTTTATTCGAACTTTTATTTTGCTCATCGATTAGAGTTATAATGCAAATTAAATTTTAAAAAAAGGATTGGTGGTATTAGGCCGTTCTTCTCAAGTTATGTTAATTTCTCTGAATTCTGATCATATCTTAAGATATTACGAAAAACATTTGAATAACAAGTTGCCATTGAACATTTTCCACAATAACATATCACGTGACGTTTGTTGTATTTTGAAGGACTCAAATCAATCAGATAAGTTTTTTCTTTAGATATTAGGATTTCCTTAAAAGATGAACTATTTTGGAAGCTTTTGTAAGAAAACAACGCCTTTTTGCAAAAAATGAGCTCAAAATACACTCGTAATGACTGAAAAAAATGTCATTAATATTTATATTGAAGTCAAAAATTATTCTGTCTCAACGTAGTTTCAAAATAATTCATTTTTAATTCTCAACAGTATATCCTAACATCTCATCAGTTATTTTTCTTCTAGTTAAATTCTGTAATTTGACAATTCGTTTCATCATCCAGTTAAAATTAGCAATCTTTGATTCTAAGAGTAGAAACAGAACTTGAATTAATCTCTAACAAATTCACATAGAATTCAATCACAACAAATAATGATTGAACTAGTCGTAATAGAACTAGCAAAAACTACTCTTGTACAACGAATGTAATTCAATTTTCATTTACAATATGAAGAACGACATGAATATGATCAATATGTATGTTTATTCTGCTTTATAAGATCAAACTCAATGAATACGAATATTTTTTCAGATACTTTCATAAGTCCATCAGAACTAATGTCAATGAAATTAGCAACAAGTCAATCTCATACTTAAAAGTATATGTTATATTTCTCAAAACTTCACTTCAAAAGCGGATCCACACACATAAAAAAACTTTTAGAAATTTTTGTTGATTAGAAAATTTGAAACTTTAATTGCCTGGTACTTTCTACTTTGTCGAAATAGTAATAATAATAATAATAGAAAAGCATTGACCTTCTAATCTCAAATTTAATTAAATCATAGAACGATAACATGGATCAATTTTTGTTTTCATCAATCATATCGTGTATTGTAACACGGTATTCAATTCAAATGAAATAAATACCTTATTTTGAAAAACAATTGGATCTTAATATAAAAAAAAGACTTAGCGAAGAAAAAGAAATGACGTGGTTTTTTTCTTTGAAGATGCTATTTCACGATGGGATTTACTTGTTTTTCTTTCAAATAGACACATATGAATGAAACAGTTTTAAATTCTATTTGAAAATGATTGAAATCAAATAATTGATGAAAACATCATTTCTTCTTTAGTTTATTTGAAGATACAACATCAAATGGTTAACAAGAATTTCTTCATCTTCTGCATCTTTCTTATTACTTGGGCATGTTTCATTCAAACGAGTAAGATTTGTTAATAACTGAAATATACGTATGTATACTGTTTTATCATTTTAAATGATTTTTTAGCTTTGGCTGCTGCTGGTTGGTGTTATCAATGTGATTCTCGAAATCCTTCTTGTCAAATTAATGTGGATGCAGTTGCATTGGCAAATACGAAAACTCCATGTAACGGACAATGTTACATACGTGTTAAAAGCGGCTGTATGTTATTTCCAAACAAAAACAAATATCGCATTTAATATTAGTTTAATGATTTTTTTTTATATACGATTTTATAGTAATGTATCGTGGTTGTTCGTGGGAATATGGATTTATGACACCACAAGTATCGTTTACTCCAATTTTTCAACATGATGCAATGTGGATTTTTTGTGATACTTCTTTGTAAGTATTTATGACAATTATATATGTTTTATTTATAATATTTAAATACTTAATATATGTTCTTATAGATGCAATGGAAATGCAAATGCATCACCATAAATATTATTAATTATGATTCTATGACAGAATAAGTTATTTTTGAAACATAAATAAACATCAGATTATTTTGTTTAATCTTAAACGAAATTTATAAAAGATTAAAATAACTAAAATAGGAATTTTGCTTCTCGCAAATATCTTAGAAATGTTTAATTTCAAAGATTGTTTGCTCAATTGAGATAATGTACAGTTTTCTAAATTTCTAAGACAAAAAAGTCATTTAGATGATTAAATATTTGTTTATTTTTGGTTTGTCGAACGTATTTCTGAGGAGTTACAAGTTATGGATGAAAACCAGCATATGATACACTTTTCGATTATGAACTTGAGAATTTCATCTCAGTTTCTATTTGACAATAGTGAGGTAACCTTTGAACAACCAAAAACAAAACGAGTTTGGACGGAAAATGTAAGCCGAAGTTTATCGAGCAAATGTTTGCTCGTATTATCAGGAATATTGTGTCTGTTTTTGTTTGAGACTAGTGAAGAAATTTTCTTAAGGCAAAAGAAATTAGATTATATGATGAATCAATAAGTTTTTGATAATCTCTATAAGTTCTTTTTCCAAAATATCAAAAAAATATTCAAGCTGGTCGTTTTATCGAGCGGACGCTGTAGTACAATATTTTATATTCAGCTAATCTATGACTTTTATCGAAGTGAAACTATAAGCACTCCTTTTCTATACAAAGCTTCTTTTGATGAAAAAGTCGATTTGTTACAAACAAAAATTTAAGAGAAACGAAAATTGAAATGAAATCTGGAAAACAAAAAAAAAAAAATACTCCGATATTACATCTGTAGGATAGTTTTTACTCTGCGGCATAACATATTATTGATGGTATCAACGTTTACTTTCGAGTTGCAATAATCGAAGTACAAACTTGTATGAGAAAATTTTCGGTTCAAACTCTTTTTCGAACCTTTTAATAAATCATCACAGGGACCTCAAGAAAGTTTCTAAGTATACAAATGGTAAATATCTCTATTGTGAAAAAACATTTTTGTCAAGATTTCAAATCTATTTAACTGACTCATTATTTAATCTTTCCATTTTATATCAATTGAATATCGAGATTGAAAGTAAAAAATGTAAAACATCTCCGAACGAAACAAATCGTAGGGCTCATTCTAATTTTGTGCTGAAATGTCGTTAAAATTAGCCAATGTACATACTGAACTGTAACACGGAAGTTCATTGTTTTTAAACATTTTGAAAAAAAAAGAGTTTAGAATGTACTCAATCTACTACAATATTAATTTAATAAAACATTGAGACAACTCTTTAATGCTCTCTTTATGTGATGTTTCTTTGTGAAATGCCATCGGCAGATTTCT